AGATAGATAGATAGATAGATAGATAGATAGATAGATAGATAGATAGAAAGAATATAATTTGTTTCTACTTTAGTAACTAGAAGAGTGGCCAGGGATGGGGGGTGAGGACCCCTGCCGTGAGACAGCCAGCTGCAAAACAGAACCCTATGGCATCTTCATGGGCTCCCCTCAGACTTGCCTGAGGGTTTCAGGGAACTGTGTACTATGAATAAAATGTAAGTAAATTGAAAGTTGCAAAAATGTGAGATGTGGTTATCATTGTCACTATCTTGTCCCTAGAACAAGCTGGGATATGTTAACTATGTCCCAAGAAAGGAAATAAAGTTCAATGGCTACTCCTTTCACTGTCCCGTTTGGGACCCCAGGGTGCATTATCACCTTAAGAGAGCAGCCTGTTGTAAAGTCCCAGCTGTCGGGCTACTGCACTGAAGAGGGAACATGAGCCACCAGACCATGGACACAATCTCAGGCTCTCTTAGCTTCTGTCAGATAGGATGGGCTTCCCAAGAAAAAGAAATCAAAAGGTTTGGTCACAATGATTAGGGACTTTTGAAGGACCAGATGTTAAGTCTTTGTTTTTTTCATAGAATGGGGATTCTAGGAACTATACAGTGTTCCATTTTGTCCATCACTGAAGATGTTATTTATCCTGCATTTTTACTGTTCTTTGTTTCATTAAAGTCTCTGTGTCCCTTTTGCTAGACTTACTAAAATGGATAAGGTAAATCTGATCATAGAAAAGCTACATGCCAATTCTGATCCATTTATGTAGACCCAGCTTTTTGCACTGCCTTCTATTTCTACTGTTAGTTACAATGAGGGATTTGTGTGCTTATAGAAGAAACTACTTTATAGATCGATTCCTGCTTATTATTGTGTATGCAATGAAGAAAGACTATAAAGCCAGAGGTACATAAAACACTAAATGTCTGGGGTGATCATTTTAGATAGAGAGAGATAATAGCAGAGAACTGACTCATCTGCAGTTGCACAGCTGATTTTGCAAGAGTCCAGGTTCTTGAGAATTGATGTTTTTTACACTTTCAGTCTAGCACACCATGCTACTGCCCTCATTTCAGACACACTTCTTTTAGACTGTGTCAGAGGAGGTGAGAAGCAGGCCCCCATCAGGCTGGTAGGAAGAGAACTGTTCTTGCCTCAGAGATCCTTATCCCTACTGAGGGAACACCCTCACCTCACATCTGTCTCTACTAGGGCATTTTGTAATGAAGCCCATACCTCAAGAATGATAGGTTAACTGTGAAAGCCAAGTCAGCCGGCTGTGGTCTCCTCAGGCCACTGTGCCTCTATCGTACCTAGCTAAGGGAAGGGTGTGTTTCTGCCACCCTAAAGCATTCTTTCCCCTCACTGGCCCTGCTCATCTTTGGCAGCTGAGGAGAGATGTGCTTACTGTTGGTTCCCATGCCCTCAGGCATGGTGGTGGGGGTGAGGGCGTTGCGCTGCTGTGGGTTGATAAGCTGGCTCACGGAAGGCAGCTTGTTCATGCTGTTCATTTTGTTCAGAGGTGGAGAGCTGTTACCATATGAAGACTGAGACTGCATCGAGGTCCTAGGAAAACAAACAAGGGATGATGGTCAACACAGGACACTGACAAGCAGGACCAATCACTTCCAACAGTAAAACATGGCCTAGACTACGTACATGCTGGATATTCCTCATAATTAATGGCCTAGAGTCCTTTACCATTCAGGCAAGACTCCCCTCACTGGGAGGGACTCCCAAAATATCACAAAAATCACTGTTTTCTAGACTCTACACAATAGAGTATTTAATATCTCTTTTGTGAGAGGGAAATTTTACATACTTCTTTTCTTCTATTGTTTTTCCCATCTTCTTTCTTGCTATTGGTTTTCAACTTAAATAAGTCTCAAAAACCAAAAGGGAGAGAAAAGAACTGAGCAAAGCACACAGGTTGATGAAACACAGAAATACACTAAACTGAATTCACAACGAAGGCCTTCCACTTATAGCTTCCCAAGCCATTAGGGATGCCCAGCAAACACCTGAAAAAACCAATCAGCTGAGGCATTTGACAGCACACCCTCCTGTCCCACAGAAACCCCAAGGCTTACATACACTTAGCAGCTGAGAATATGAGCTGAGAGAGGACCCAGTCCACGTCAACAGATAGTCTATGTAGGAGAACCTCAGAACCCAAGCCACGGTGATAATTTTCTGCGAGTCTTCTATGTGTATGTGTGCATGCGCATGTCCTCAAATATAGTAGCTATATTAAAAACTATAGCTATGTAATAATCTACAGATACAGCCATTTACCCTTGCTGTACGCTACACTGTTAATAGCAGGAAACCTAAAATGTATTTTCTTTTTTCTTCTTCTTTTTCTTTCTTTTTTTTTTTTTTTTTTTTTTTTGAGAGGCTCATGGGCTAACAATCTAACAAGGATAGCAAGCCTTTCTTCCTTATATGGCTGAGACAGAAACTGGAAAGGAGATAAGAGGACCATCTGTAGAGACCATAGCATTTACAGTGAGTAGAAACTAGATACTGAGGATTGGGTTTTGAGTGTGTTTCTGACATATGGAAGAAAAAGTTTCTTTGAATTTATCAAACAAGATGTTTTCTTTTGTTCTGATTTACCTTCTTTCTGTGACACCCATATTCCCATAGTTATAATAGACAAATTTAAATTTATGTCTGAGTTGTGGTTTCATATATGTGTATGAGGAATATCAATATTAAATGCTTTGTAACTGAATGCAAGTTACAACCAAATGCAGTGTAATGATTGAAAAATATTTAAATTTAAATGGTGGCTTTAAATATTTGTACTTTAGGTAGTTTTTGAAGATGTATGGAATTCCCCATAGTTGCTGAAAACATGAAGCCTGCTTTATGTATCAGTGTAGAGTACCAGCTAGGGTTAAGCAAACAATTCACACTATAGTTATTTGCATGAATTAGAACAATTACAACAAAGCTTTAATTTTTGTTCTGTTTAGCATTTTTAAGTGGTACAAATAGTCGTCACAGAATAAATCCTTTCACTTATGAAACACCTCAGATTACCTGGCTGCTTTTCATCCATGTTTGGGTGATTGCCACCACAATGGAGCATGTCATTCCATAGCATGGAAGTCCATGATCAAGTCCATTATCATTTGAAAAAGAAGTAAATATGGAACTCTAAGAGATGAACGTGCTCAAATGCCCAAGGTTCACTGCTAGATGCATGGGTTAAGAATGGAAATGAGTCTCCTGGCACCTAGCCCATGATTTTTGTTTCTTTTTATTTTTGGGCCATGCTCCTAGAAATATAATCATGGTGGACAACAAGGGTACTGAATCAAGAAATTGTTGAAGTACTAAGATAATGTGAAAGGCCAAGGTAGGCAAGGAACAATGACTATGTAAAGGGAATCCAACTGTTATGAAACACCAATGTATAGCAACATGCTGGGTCGTGAACATGTCCAAGCCAACCCAGAACCCTCTGTGAATCCATATCTTAGTACAGGGAAGCACAAAGCAAGGAATCGGGGAGGTGTTAGTCCCTACTGCTTCTGTACCCATCTTGAAAAGCCAGAAGGTAACGAAGAGCTAGTCCTTCAGATTCCAGATACAGACAGAACCTTTAATTTGAAGACTCCATATTCGTTTCCATCTCCCCAAGCAGTTGAATATGTAGCCAAAATTCATGATAAGAATAGTTTTAACCATTAACAACCACAGTCAGAAAGATGAAAATACATTCATAAAGTTTACATTTGTCCACAGACTTTCAATCAGTTCACTGCTGTTTTCTAGATCCTGCTAAAACCTTATTTTCTTTGTAGTCATTAATTTCTTTAACTACCTTATTAGCTAATCTACTATTTTTCACTATAATCAACTTAATTTCTGGAAGGGAGACCAGAAACAAAGCAGAGAAGAAATATGAATTTTGGAGCCAATCAAAACGTCTGTTTTCTTCTAGATATGAACTGAACCTATGAAGTGACAGGAATTAATCCAAGTCATCTCTTGAGCCTCATTTTCTTGGGCATTCCCTACAAGAGTGTCTATGAAGTCTGAATGAGAGTAAGTGAGACTCCTGGACATTGTCCAGTGTTTTATAGATACTCAGGAATCTTGGTCCTTTCCTCTTCCCTTACAGTTCCAAATGGTCAGTTTATGCTCTTGTATTTGACCAAGGAATAGAAGGTTCCAACTTATGAATTTATAGGAAGAAGTAATCCAGAGTTGACACAGATTCTTAATTGAGTAAATATAAAAAAAAATGATTTTAATGTCAAAAGGTCATGAATGGAACCACTAGAACACTAAAGTGAATTTTACTGACACAAAGGCAAAGGTCATGACACTGATCATTATTAATTCCACAGTGTCTGAAATGGACAGCCATCACACATGTAGGAAAAAGTGTGATCCTGAATAAGATCACAGCCAATTCAAAGGTCATAAAAAGCAGTTAACTCCTTGGCTTTTAAAAGCACAATACCATGATCCTTCAGTAAACAGTCCTCCAAACTTAGGGGACAAATTAAAACGAAAGAGAAGCTATGCCATGTTGATTGATTTTCTTTCTCATCCCCTCTGTCCTCATCACTCACCCTAACCAAAGGTCAAACAACCAATAATGCGATGACAATAACTGTTTGCAGAAAAATGTAATATGGTTCCCAGGTGGGAACATTTCTGCAGAGGCTTACTAGAGTCTGCTAGGGACTGAATTATAGAGAAACAGACAGGTAAGTCTTCTGTAGTTCTAGTCTTGATGGAAAGTATTAGTAAAGTTAAGTCATAGGCTTTTTGTTGTTGTTTTATTTTACTTGTTTTTCAGTGGTGATTGAAACTAGGACTTGCACATGCTATCAAATTCTCTACCACTGATTTTATTTGCTCCAAGCCCACAATTCTTCATTCTTAACTCTAAATCCATAAACTTCTGTATGCATTGCTAAAAGTAAAATTTAGAATTTCAGGGATAGATCTAACTTTAAATGATCTGGAATTAGAAATTAGGCTACGTGATTCTACCTCTCAAGTCTATGTGGTGAAGGACAATCTTCATGATAAGTTACAAGTTATGTCCATGGCCTTCAAAACATGTGTTTGCTCCTCTTTCTTGATTTAAGTCTTTTTATTATATTAATGACAACTTTTAACTGCAATTTGGTGACACATCGGATAAGTGTATTTTCCAAGCCATTTCTAGAATGCTGAATGTCGACATGGGAAAGGAATTGAGAAGAAGGATGCTTTGAAGATAAGGAAGGTGAAAAAACAGGAAGACATAGAAAAATAATTATACCTCTTCTCAGTATTTCCTAAGAGCTCCTCTCTCTGTGGCATGTATGTTGGGTAATCTTGCTTCCCAAAACCAAGGTCACCAAAAGTTTAGAAGGCCAACCATAAATTAGAAATATATTCCATCATTTTAAACATATACATACATATAAAGGCTACTGTAAGTCCATGAAAAATGTACATAACAATAGGCTAAAGGAGAAAATTATTTCTGAAAGAAATGTCAAAAATCTAAGTACATTCTCCAATTCTTTAAGTACTTATGGCTCAAAGTTACTTACTGAAACATGGCAAGGACATTTGCATTTACTAATTTACTTTAATCTCATGTCCAGATAGTTTTGTCTTATGTTTTTATCTGTTATTTGCTTTGGTGCATTTATAAAAACTTACTTTGAAATATAAACTATACTAACACAAAGTTCAGAAGACACAAAAATTTAAACCAAAAAAATTAGGGTGTTGGCCCCACTCTAGAACTCCTTCCAAATATTTGCTAAAGCAGATGGCATATAAACCTAATCATATAATACATTTGGACTTAGCTTAAACTTAATTCAGTAAACTTAGTGATTTAAAACAAAGCTTGAGACTTCTTCAGATGCCTTTTGGCAGGCTAGGATGTAATCACTTACAGAACTAAAATCTCTTTGCTGTTCATTTAGACATTGTCACTAACTTTCAGAGTGATAACCTGAATATACATTCTTAAATAGGTTAAAAAAAGAGAGAGAGAGACAGGACCACAGTGACCACCCCCTCATGCTTGGTGCTGAGACCCACACCTAGCACTTGCAGCACTGAAGACATGAGAATATGCTGTACCGGGGGAAGACAAGAGAGACGGAAACAAAAACTACAAGATAAACCAAGATGCAAAAGTTTATTGAAAATTAAAACCACACATCCACAAAGCAACAGCCTCAATCACAAGAAATTGTTGTCTTGGTGACATAGAACAAAGCACCGGTGACATGGTTGAGGTGGGAGGGGGCAGGGATGTTGAAGAAAGAAACAGGGATTCTGTCACTTCTTTTGAGTTGGGGAAAATGTTTTAAAAGGAAAAAGACTTTGTTAAGCTCTCTGTAATTTCTACGCCAGGACTGTTGATTTTAATAACTGTGTGCTTAGACACCATTTAGTCAGAGAGTAGTTCTTCCAGAGAAATGCATAGGAACAGTAGTGAGAAATCTGGCTTCTTTTATGGTAGAAAGTGATTGAGGGCTAGCAGCTCCAACTAAACAAATTAATCGTAGATGTGATGAGGAAACATTGAA